CCGCACACCAAGCTTCAACGACTTCATCTGGACAACCTGCACAAGGAGCAAGAAATATTGTTAACTGCATGGTCAAGATAAACGACTCTTGCACAACAGAGTCACCACCGTACTACTCACCCGAAGATCAACTTAACAACAGCACGCCTCGCCGCGAATCTCTTCAACCGAACCCAACGTACGCCGCAATCGCTCAAAGTGAACCGTCCGGTCAAGACACCTGGTTCTTGGACAGTTGCTGCGGACAACACATGTGTTCTTCCGGGCGCTTCGTTCAACGCGAGCATCGACTCCAGCGAGAAGTAGTCATCACGGTCGCCAACAATCAAAACCTGCGCATACGAAGACAAGGAGTGGTTCAGCTTCAGTCATGAGAAACAAACGTCATACTACACATGTCAAAGGTACTTATCGTGGAGGGACTCGGCTACAACTTACTGAGTGTTAGCCAGTTGATGGCGAAAGGGATCTCAGAATCCCAACCACTAGACCATTGGGATAAAAGGGCTTGTTTCAGTAGCGGGTCAGTGCGCCCATAACCCCCCAGGCAAACGTGCCTGTAACCCTTCCCTAGGATCGATCGGGGATCACCAGTGGACCTCTGACACCCCCCCGCACTGGGATGCCCGAAGTGCATACACCGGGATTCGAACCCGAGACCTTCGCTCTGGATACCATCTCAGAATCCCAACCACTAGACCATTGGGATAAAAGGGCTTGTTTCAGTAGCGGGTCAGTGCGCCCATAACCCCCCAGGCAAACGTGCCTGTAACCCTTCCCTAGGATCGATCGGGGATCACCAGTGGACCTCTGACAAGGGATTCACTTGGAAGCCGACAGCACCACCCAGGAATTTAAGTTATACCACGGGAGGGGCGGCCTCTACATCGGGAAAGCAGTGTTGAAGAATAACGTCTTCGTTCTTGACTTCGTCCCCGACCTGGGCACTGCAGACAGCGACGCCATCGTCAACTTCACCGATTGGACGCATCCCCCGGATCTCGATCCCGACTTCAGCCCAGGAGGTTTCTGGTACTCACACACCATTCCTGAAGCAGAACGAACACGTGCATTAGCAACAATTCGACAATCGGCAGCAGCAGAGACAACGTCGACAGCAGCAGAGACAACATCGGCAGCAGCAGAGACAACGTCGACAGCAGCAGAGACAACATCGGCAGCAGCAGAGACAACATCGACAGCAGCAGAAACAACATCGGCAGCAGCAGGAACAACGATACCAGTCATCGTCGACGAAGCACCACCAACACCCGCACAACAGCTGAACCCGACTCAACGAGAAGTCCACCGCAGCGCCAACTTCGTCGCCAGCTTCTACTCCAACTCCGACGCATATCAACGTTCACCCGGACACCGCGCCTCCGAAGACATCTAGCACGCACGCACAGGACATCCAAGTAACACGGTGTTAAATAATACGATACGAGCAGGAGTGCTAGACAAAGACTCGCTACTACTACTCGACGGCAGAGAACTTCAACGTGCACGGGGGACTTGCCTCATCTGCCCCGAGGCCGACTTACCACATCGACCTTTTTCTTCTCACCACAACCCGAGCGCACCTGCATACGCACCACTCGAAAAAGTCTATAGCGACATCCTCTACAATCGAGAACCAGGCCAAGTAACCTATAATTACACGATTACCTTCATCGACGCCGCCACTCGATACGTCTGGCATCGCAACCTACCCAGCCGCGACATGGCACTCGCAGCATTCGCCGCTTGGCTACCGGTAGCAGAAAGGGAATCAGGAACGCAGCTGAAAAGCTTCCAGTCAGACGGAGGTGGCGAATACACCTCTCAGCGCTTCAAGCAGTACCTGGCGGAAAGGGGGATCAAGCAACTCCTCTCCCTTCCCTACGCACATCAGCAGCAGGGTGTTGCAGAAAGAATGAACAGGACCCTACAGAACAGCATGCGCAAACTACTACGTGGCATGCGGCTACCCAACCACCAGTGGCCAGCAGCAATGGACCATGCTGTCATGCTGCACAACTTGCTTTCGTCGTCGTCACTCCCGAACAACGCATCACCGCATCTGCTGTGGACAGGAAAGCAGGGCAGCACAAAAATGTTACGAGTTTTTGGGTGCATGGTACAGTACCGACCCCCAGAAGCACGAGCGGGAAGATTTTCGCAACGGGCACAGTGGGGACTACACCTCGGCATCGAGAAAAATTACAACGCGTGGAGAATCTTCGACGTCCACACAAAAGAAACAGTAGCAGCACGTGATGTGATCTTCTACGAACGACTCACCCTTCAGACGTACCTCGCCAACTTGCACGAGAATCGGGACCCCACAGGTGGCTTTCGTGGTGACCGAGCCTTCGCCTCAGCAGCGGACGAAGCAGACTGGGATGAACAGAACGTCGACAACGCATCGGAGGAAGCCGGACCTCTCCCGTACTGCTCCGTCGATGTGCCCATGGATGAAGATAATCCTCGCGACAGTAACAACGCCGAAGTCTTCTACCACTTCGCCGACAACGGTTACGTAACACCTGCGACAGTCAACACCAACGAAGCAGAAAGGATAGGGCCAAATTTCATCCCCGACCCAGAAGCGGGAGACGAAGCAGCTTATCCCGAGGATCCAGAACTCCCTCGATACTCACAAACTGGGCTACAAATCCTTGGCCTCGTCACCGCAGTCCACGGGACCGCCGGCAACACTCTTCCTAAAGAGCCTGCGACAGTTCAGCAGGCTCTGGGGGGGGAACACAGGGAAAAATGGCGTGAAGCCATGGACAGGGAATTAAAGGCATTGGAGGAACGCAACACCTGGAAGCTCGTTCCCGCAAGCGTGGCACGGAACAAGACCATTCTCACCGGGAAATGGGTCTTCCGCATCAAGACGAAAGCTGACGGCACAATCGAGAAGTTCAAAGCACGCTGGGTCGTGCGTGGATTCGACCAGGAACAAGGACGAGACTTCACCGAGACCTTCGCCCCAGTTAGTCGACATACCTCTCTCCGCATTCTTCTCGCCATCGCCGCCATGAAGAAGAAGCTGCGACAGATCGATGTCGCCAACGCATTCCTCTACGCACCCGTCGACGCAGACATCTTCGTCGAACTCCCACACGGTACCCACGGGGAACCCAATCAATTCTGCCAACTGCTAAAGTCCCTCTACGGAATCAAGCAGGCCCCACGGCTGTGGCAACAGCACCTGCACACCCGCCTCATCCGCATCGGATTCCGCCAACTGCCCCATGACCAGGGCATGTACCGACTCACTAAAGGCGCCAACTACATCCTACTCATCGTCTACGTCGACGATCTCCTCTACATCGGCTCCACCGACGACGTCACCACCTGGTTCGAAGGGGAGCTGCAGAAAGATCTCACGCTCACGGTTTCTTCTACCGTCACGCAGTACCTTGGACTCAACATCCGCGAAGAAGAAAACGCAATCTACCTAAGCGCCGAGAAATACGCCGACACGATCGCCAAGCGCTTCTCGCTCACCCCTACCGCTATCGCCACGCCATACCGCTACACGGCAGGAAACGGCCAAGGAAACTCCATCCTACTAAAAACCGCCGGAATACGCGACTACCAGCGAAAACTGGGCTGTCTGCTCTTCGCAGCCGTCACCTGTCGCCCAGACCTGTCCTACTCCGCTAGCCAGCTCGCTACCTACCTCAAGAAGCCTGAAGCAGATCACATGTCAGAACTCGATCGCGCACTGCACTATCTCGTGAGCACACCGACGATCGGCCTGACTTACTACAAGAACGAAGCTGCGTCAACGAAACTAATCGGCTACGTCGATGCTGACCATGCCGGCGATCCAGATAACAGGCGCTCTCGCACTGGCTACGTCTATCGTCTCGAGCCTATCGGACCTATCTCCTGGCAGTCGAGCAAGCAGGAACTAATCGCTCTCTCTTCAGCTGAAGCAGAATATATCGCCCTCTGCTCAGCCACCAAGGAAGGACTCTACCTTCACGAACTGCTGGAAGAAGCAAAGTTAGCTGAGTTACCCAGCTTCACCCTGCACTGCGACAACCAATCTGCAATTCGCATCGCCAACAAAAACGGATTCGCGAACAGAACGAAGCATATCGCTCTGCGATACTTCTTCGTGAAAGACGAGATCGAGAAAGGAAGACTCGAGTTATCCTACTGTCCCACGTCCGAGATGGCAGCCGACTATTTGACCAAGAAGCTCGGAAAACAGAAGTTCGAGTACTGCATGCTGCTGACTGGACAAAGCCACGTCACCATCAGCGACACTCCAGGATCGAAGGGGAGTGTTGGGAACAATAAGTCTTAAGGCGCCTCTGTCGTGTCGAAACTCAGGACACTAGCGAAGCAGCCCAAATCGAAGCATCACGAGTCAACCCTCGGAGGTTAGGGTAACCGTCTGGAGGTTACGCGAAGGTCAAAGGTCAGCGACCTTTGACTTGACCAATACAGCGCGACAGCAAGGACACACAACTGACTCGACATTGAGCAGTTGCCCGAGTCGCACTGTATCGAATCGCAACAGTAAAACGGTTTAAATCTATCTATTCGTATTCCTTGTACTCTTATATAAACCTTGTATTTGCTTGTTTAATCCAACTTACTTTGCCCTCACATACCAGCGCAAGGTGGTTCAAGATCTTTTATTCAACGCTTCCGCTATTACAAATCCTACCCAGACTTTAACTCTACAAAGATCCTTAGGGCTTATCAGCCCAACACTAAGTAGCGTCCGCCTATTGCCCATCCTCCCTACTTCTCCTGTCTCCTCTGCCTGTCTGCAGCGTCAGCCGCAGCACGCCTCTCCTGAGCCACCCACAGCAGGCGCAGGGGCCCAGGCCGATTGCAGCCACGTAATCCCTCCCTCGCGGTCATTCACTTAGTCGTGAAAAGGACCTGTTTTCTGTACCATTATAAATCCAGCATGCTTGTAGCACTTCATTTAATGTACCATTTCAGAGCAAACATGCAAGGAAGTGTCCACCCTATGTCCATCTTCCCTACTTCTCCTGCCTCCTCTGCCTCTCAGCTGCATCAGCCTCGGCACGCCTCTCCCGAGCCACCCACAGCAGGCGCGGGGCCGACCGCAGCCACGTGATCCCCTCCTCATGGTCGCTCACTCGGTCGTTGATCATGCTGCGGCCAATCAGGAAGCGGTTACAGTCCAGCGACAGCTCCCCTGCTGCCACATCATCAGCTGAGAGCTGATTGGCTGACGCGACTTTTTCAATGTCATGCTCGTCAACTAGTTGTTCTACACCACCCATGAGCTTATCTGGTTGCGGGTTCTTCTGTAAAGGGGATGAGATGGTGACAGAGGAGAGCCGGGAAAAACCCATGAGATCATATGTCAGTGAGCTTTATATTGATAGTGCATGGTTGAACCATGCACTTTAACCATAGGACAGGGCGAGACGGGAAGAGCAGGTGGTCTACAAAGAGTGAGAAGCACAAGCAGAGGTGGTAGTATGCATGGCTGGATATCAGTCCACACTTATGGGACAGTGCTATCTGCACAGGTAGTAGTTAGTATGCATGGACACTAGCTGCGAAAGTGACTGCAGCTGATAAGTCGCTTTTTGAGTCGGCTCAAAATTCGAGTATGCATGGACACTAGCTGCGAAAGTGGCTGCAGCCGAAAGCAACCAGCAGCAGAGGCCACAGGAACGAAAGTAGGAAACAGTTGAAAGCTCACTTCCTTGCGTCTGGCATGACCCCTGGCCCTGCCCCTGAGCGTTCTACTCACGGGTTTCCCCTTGCCGTCTCACATCCCAACCCTGGCAGCCCGCTCCTGCTGTGACCTGTGCTGCTGCTGCTAATGCGAAGACATGAAATGACTTGGAAAACTCACCCTGGCGTGAGCAACAACCCCTCGCCTTGCCCCTGGGCCATCCACCGACGGGTTCCCAATTGGCATCTCATATCCGAACCCTGACAGCCCGACCCTGCTGTGACCCGTGCTGGTGCTACTAGGACTTCTGCTGGTGCTGGTGCTCATATGAATGGCGTTTCAAACTCACCCTCGTGCGTCTGGCGTGAGCAACAACCCCTTGCCTTGCCCTTGAGCCTTCCACCCTTAGCGAAGACATGAATTGACTTTGAAAAACTCACCCTCGTGCGTCTGGCGTGAGCAACAACCCCTTGCCTTGCCCCTCGCCTTCCGGCATTGGGTTCCCCCTTCGCGCCTCACATCCCAACCCTGACAACCCGCCCCTGCTGTGACCCGTGCTGCTGCTGCTAGGACTTACGCTCAAGCGAAGACATGAAGTGATGTTGAAAACTCACCCCCTTGCGTCTCGGATGAGCAACGACTCCCCACCTTGCCCATGAGCCTTCCAATCCACGGGTTTCCCCTTGGCGTCTCACATCCCAACCCTGATAGCCCACCCCTGCTGTGGCCCATACTATTGCTAGGAATTTTCCTGCTGCAGGAGGCTACTGCAAACAAGAAAACGGATGAAAACTCACCCTCTTGCGTCTGGCATGAGCAACAACCCCTCGCCTTGCCCCTGAGCCTTCCAGCCCTGAGTTTCTCCCTGGCATAAATCCCCACCCTGACAGCCCGCCCTTGAGTTGACCCGTGCTGCTGCTGCTGCTGCTGCTGCTAGGACTTAAGCTACTGCGAGAACTTATGCTGCTGCTGATGCGGATATGGCTGCTCCAGGACGAGACAGCAGCAGAAGATGTTTGGCAGCACGAGGGAGCATGGCAGACAGCAGCAGCAGGAGGAGGAGGTGTACGGCTGGTGCTCCTTGTCACTCTGCAGGAAGGTGTGCGCACTCTGCTGGGTGTGCAGTGATGGGTGATTGGCACGTGGCCGCATGAAAGCATGCTGGGCAACTTGTGTGCGCTGTGGACTGGCCGGTGTAGCTGTAGTGTGCAAGGCGGGACTGCTGGACTGCTGAATGTGGGTTCCGTGGACGAAAGAGTGAGTGCTGTTCTGCTTTATTGATGGAGCGAATCTTGGATTGGATGCAGATTGGATCTTCCTGTGCCTGGAGCGGGGCCAATGAGAGGAGACACGCAGAATGATAAGGGGAGAACGATAAGGGGAGAGTTAAAGGCGAGATGAGGAATGGGACGGATTTGCAAAGCGAAAGGGGAAGCCGGGCGTGAGAAGGGCAGGGAGGGGGACAGGACACACGGGAAAGGTTGTGCGAGGATGGTGGGGTTATGAATTTTGTGAGGACAGTGAAAGACTTTGAAGTTGAATCGAGACTCGAACGAGAGTATAATTTGATGTCGCCAGTTAACTACGTGTCATTCGTCAATGAAACCCTAAAAACCATCCTAACGCACCGAGCAGTCCACTTCCCATAATAACCAAAGAACTAAATCAGTTCAACGGCTGCGTCGTCTTACCTAGAGCGAGAGCGCGGTAGAAGAAGGGAAACTACACCAACGGGTTTCCTCGCTACCACCACTACGCGCAAAGGGCGGCGCGAAAGATGCTTGGCAGCCAGCAGTTTTTGAAGTGGAAGAAACATTGAATGCAGAACTCTGCTTTTGGTTTTCCCTTCCTGTATTTGGTAACCAAATGATAGTTCGCTTGTTGTCGACCGCTTTACATACAGGTTAGCGAACTTTGTGACTCTTTTGCGAGGTATCGTGAACAGCGTAGTGATTCCTTCGCGAAGCAATGTAAGATCACCAGTTGGGTGAAAGTTGAAACCCATTCCACCGTACCGTATCGTATCGTAACAGTCCATACGTCCGAGAGTCGTACTGCACCATACGAATCGATGGAGTTGTAAAAGCCTCTGCTGTTTTATCTCCGTCCTCTAGCATATCCTGGCCTGTACATCCCATCAGATGCGCGAGTGTCGATTTTAGATTAGTTTCGCGCGTCGCGTGTCCTGAGAATAAGGGAGCTTACCGTGCAGTAGCGATTTCAGTCGTGCCGTCAATTCCGAGGGCTCTAACGAGAGCGCCGGGCGTGCAGCATCTGCGCGGAGAATGATTCTGAGTCTTCTAGATTGGCAAACATTTTTCTTATATGAGTAAATATTGATCGTGGTACTTTCCTCTTCGGTTTACCAATTGTCTTCGAACATTCCTGTAGGACTCGAGGGATCGCTGTGGTTCTCGATGGCAGTGCGCGTGTGTCCCGCCAAGTACTCGGTGTAGAGCGTGGCTCGATACTGTTTTGGTGAGGTTAAGAAGACATAGTGTAGAGCGTAATAACTTCGGGATGGCGCCGGGAGGGCCGAATCGCGGCGCCGCGTTGCGAGGAAAGCGACGCGAGTACAAAGCCGTTATGAAGGTGAATGCGAATGCGATGATGGTTGATGGTTATCGTTTCTGTCACAAATCACGATCTCCAGTCATTCGTCTCCTTGGTCTTTCTGTCCTGTCATCCCTCGCCTCACTTACAAAGGTCAGTAAAGGCTTAAAGCCCGTGTTTGGGGTGGGGAATGGTTCAACAACATCTACCCTTGCTGCATGTTCCCATCCACATAATCACCTACCCGTGCAGGTCAGTGGAGGCCGGACGCTCGTATTTGGGGGTGTGCTTCATGGTGACTTTTGAGTCGACTCAAAAGTCACATAATCACCTACCCGTGCAGGTCAGTGGAGGCCGGAAGCCCGTGTTTGGGGGGGTGCTTCAACACCGTTGATCCTTCTCGCACCCTCAACATGTGTTCCTGCTGTCCCCTTTATAAGCATTATTCCATCCTCATAACCACCCTCCCATGCAGGTTAGCGAAGGCTGGAAGCTCGTGTTTGGGGGATGCTTCAACGTTATTGAGCCGTTGACCCTCTCTATCTTGACTAGTTCTGCTCCTATTGTCCCACTCATCACCATCCTCCCGTGCAGTGCAGGTTAGCGATGGCCGCAAGCCCGTGTTTGAGGGGTGCTTCAACACCATTGACCCTCGCTACCTTGACATTTGCTCCTGTTAACCCCTTTATAAGCATCCTCCCGTCCTCATTATCACCCTCTTGTGCAGGTCAGTGAAGGCCGGAAGCCGGTGTTCGGGGGATGCTTCAACACCATCGATCCTCGCTACCTCGACATGTTCGCTAGCGTCTCAGGCAACAGGGTACGACTTTAACGACAGGGTTTAGGGTACAACAAAGAACGTGTCTGGCAACAGGGTACGAGACAGGGTTAAGGGTACAACAAAGAACGTGTCTGGCAACAGGGTACGACACAGGGTTTAGGGTACAACAATGAACGTCTCTGGCAACAGGGTACGCGAATCCGATTCAGGAAGTGAACGAACGGGTTTGTGTATTGAATGTGAGGAAGTTGCTTGTGTGCTGCTTTTTGAGACATCTCACGGATTGTTTGCTAGCGCGTCTAGCAACAGGGTATGCAGATGCTATTTGGAATTTAACTGATGGGCTTGTGTGTTGGATCCGGGATGGAGTTGCTTGTGAGCTGCTTTTTGTGCGTGAATGGAGAGTACAATGCATAGCACAAGCTTTCCCACAACCTAAATTTCTTTCCCTTCAATATTTGTAAGAGGATCTCTGAGGTGCCTGATTATTGTGCTTGATTATTGTGTTTGATTGTTGTGCTTGATTTAGTGTGCCTGATTATTGTGCCTGGTTTTTGTGCTTGATTATTGTGCCTGATTATTGTGCCTGGTTTTTGTGCTTGATTATTGTGCCTGATTATTGTGCTTGATTGCTGTGCCTGATTATTGTGCCTGATTATTGTGCCTGATTATTGTGCCCGATTATTATGCTTGATTATTGTGCCTGATTATTGTGCTTGTATTGCAGGTTACAGTGTACAAGTGCGAGTCTGGCGGCGCAACCATCGTCGTGCAACTATTCCTTGATGAAAATGTAGTGTAAGGGGACATTTGCGAATAATTTCCATTTCGGGAGTTATCATTATACATGTGCTGCGCATGCCAGATGCCTTCCTTCCTTCCAAGTGCGTAGGGGTACGTCAGTTATGTGTGCACTTGAAACGCTTGTGTACATCATAAACCGCCATGCCGTGTGCATGTCTAAGGTCATCCATACCATACCTGCACTGCATAGACGCATGCATCCATGCATGTGTATTTCTGTATAGGTTGCGAGTGCTGTTGCCGTGTGTCATCTCGTGCTGCCATGCTGTGCTGCCATACCATGTGCTCCCAAATGTACTCACTCACTCATGTGTCGTCATGTGCATTCATGTCCATCCATGTGCATCCATGTCCATCCATGTGCATCCATGTCCATCCATGTCCATCCATGTGCATCCATGTCCATCCATGTGCATCCATGTGCATCCATGTGCATCCATGTGCATCCATGTGCTGCCATGCCATCACATCCCCATCACCAGAAGGATGAGTCGTTTTACACAGTGGCATGGATGAGGGGGCAGCAGGGGCGGCCGCTGTTGGCAGCTAGTGGCAGCAGCGGGGTGATTCGGATCATTGACTGCTGGCGAGAGACAGTTGTCCATGTGAGTGAGTGAGTGTGGGCGTGAGGGAGGGGAAGGAGGGAGTGAGTGAGTGAGTGAGTGAATGAGTGCATGAGTGAGTGAATGAGCGAGTGAGGGAGAGAATGAGTGAGTGAGTGAGGGAGTGGGTGAGTGGATGAGTGAGGGAGCATTTGAGTGAGTGAATGAGTGGGTGAACGAGTGAGTGTGTGAGTGTGTGAGTGAGTGAGTGAATGAGTGAATGGGTGAGGGAGGGAGTGAGTGAGTGAGTGAGTGAATGAATGATTGAATGAGTGCGTGAGTGAATGAGTGAGTGAGAGTGAATGAGTGAGTGAGGGAGTGAGTGAGTGGATGAGTGAGTGAGCATTTGAGTGAGTGAATGAGTGAGGGAGTGAGTGAGCATTTGAGTGAGTGAATGAGTGAGGGAGTGAGTGAGTGAGTGATTGAGTGAACGAGTGAATGAGTAAATGAGTGTATGAGGGAATGAGTAAATGAGTGAGTGAGTGAGTGAGTGAGTGAGGGAGCGAGTGAGGTAGTGAGTGAGTGGGTGAGTGGGTGAGTGATCGAGGGAGGGAGGGTGAGTGAGTGTGTGCGCGAGTCGATGTTGGTGCGTACAAGGGCAGCTGAGTGTGTGTGAGCATGTGCTCATGTGAACTCAAACCCTTCTACACACCCTCCTTTCCTTCAGAGTTTCATTGGCCATGGGGGAGCAGTGAACGAGGTGAGGGTGCATCCGTGCCACCCCGCACTGCTTCTCTCTGCTGGCCGGCAAGGAGACATGCGCAGGAGACATACCCCATATGTGCACCGGCAAGGAGACATGCGCAGGCTGCATTTGAGGCGCCTCTATCCCTTTCCCCCCACCCACTCCATTCAGTTAGAGCTTCATCGGGCACGGAGGCGCAGTGAACGAGGTGAGGGTGCATCCGTGCCACCCCGCACTGCTGCTCTCAGCCAAAAAGGACGAGAGAAGAGAGAGAGAGGGACAGGCATAAGCTGCTCTTCGTTTTTCGTCTCTCCCGCACCTCCTCTCCTCCCATTCCCCCTCTTCAAGTTTCATCGGGCACGGAGGCGCAGTGAACGAGGTGAGGGTGCATCCGTCCCATCCCGCGCTGCTGCTCTCAGCCGGCAAGGACGAGAGAAGAGAGATCGGCAGGCAGAAGCTGCTCCCCGCCCCTTCCCCTGCCCTCCATACTCCTTTCCCCACCTGTCTCCCCCACTTCCAGAGTTGTATTGGCCACAGTGTGGCGGTGAACGAGGTGAGGGTGCATCCCACCCACCCCACCCCGCGCTGCTGCTCTCAGCCGGGAAGGACGAGAGAGGCATGCATTTCAATCATTCTTTGTCTGCTTCATTCTTCCTCCCCGTCTCCCCCCTACACCCCACCCCCAACTCTTCCCTTCCCTCAGAGTTTCATTGGGCACGGAGGTGCAGTGAACGAGGTGAGGGTGCATCCGTCCCACCCTGCGCTGCTGCTCTCAGCCGGAAAGGACGAGTCGCTGCGGCTGTGGAACACGGACACGGGCGTGTGCGTGGCCATCATGGGCGGCACGGACGGGCACCGGAATGAAGTGCTCAGCGCGGTACAGTAACTTTCATTAGTCTAGTTAACCATGTACTGTACGGGGCACACACGCACACCTGGCGCACCGCACTAGAGTAGAAGACGAATCGCTGCGGCTGTGGAACGCAGACACGGGCATGTGCGTGGCGATTATGAGTGAGTGGGACTAGAGTGCAGATGTTAGTGTTTCCGTCATGCTGTCTTGCATAATGCTCTGCTGTCTCACATCACTTGGTGTGCCTCGCAGGGCTTCCATCCGGTCCCGGTGACAAGGCCCTCATCGCCGTGCTAATGTTCTAGGCATCCTAGAAAATATGTCTTGCGTAATGTTGTGTGATGGCTTGTCTTGCATGCATGCTGTGTGCCGCAGGACTTCCATCCGGTCCTGGTGACAAGCCCGGCATTGCCATGTTTATTTGAAATCACTTTTGAGATTTCTCACAGGCGAGGCCATCATCTCCATGCTAATCTTTTAGGCGTCCTAGAGAATATGTCTTGCATGCATACTGTGTCTCGCAGGACTTCCCTCCGGGTGACGAGGTCATCAGCGCCAGCTTCCTTTTGAGTCGACTCAAATGCCACCTCCCTTGCATGCTGTCTCACGTGCACACTCTCTCTCTCCCATGCCGTGTCGCTCTCCCTCATGCTGTGTGTAGCAGGATTTCCATCCCGGTGACCAGGCAATCATCGCCAGCTGTGGCATGGACAGCAGCATCCGCGTGTGGAGCCTGCAAGGTTTGCTCTCTCACACACATTCTCTCACACACGCACGCACTCACACATTCACCCAACGATTGAAACACATACACTCACAAGCTCACACACACACACACACACACACACACACACACACACACACACACACACACACACACACACACACACACACACACACGCACACACGCACACACGCCCACACGCCCACACGCCCACACGCACGCACGCACGCACGCACGCAAACATGCACACACGCACACACGCACACACGCACACACACACACACACACACACACACACACACACACACACACACACACACACACACACACACACACACTGGCACACGCATACACACCACATAGAAGACCTCTCATCTCCCAAGAGATCCGTCTCCTCTCTCCTCCTTTCAAATCCTCCCTGTTTCTTGCTCGCTCGCTCTCCTCCCTTCCACTGTGCTTGGCATGTGGTGGACCAGTTCAAAACGTGGATCTTTTGTCTCAGCCAAGAGATCCTCTCCTCCTCTCCCCCCCCCCTCTCAGCTCCTCCTCTCCTCTCCTCCTCTCCTCCTCGTCTCCTCCTCTCCTCCGCGCCTCTTGTCCTCCTTGTTAAAACTATATATTCTGTAGCATGCCAACACATGTGACTGTACACCAATTGTGGTGTGCAGTTGGGTTGGGACTACACCCAACTTTGGGTGTAGTCTTGCACTTTGGGGTGCCAATCCACCCAATTGTGGTGGAGCCCCCAAATGCAACCCACTTGGCTTATGGGTGACTCACTTCCCACAAGTGAGGTCACCTCAAGCCAAGTGGGCCTAGGGTTGCTTCACTTCTACAAAGTGTGGGCAACCCAACCCACTTGACCCATGGTAGCCTCACTCCCCTAAGTGAGGTCAACCCTACCTATGGTTACCTTCACCCTTCTCTTCCAAGCCTCTTTTCCAACTATGTATGCTAGGTTTCTCCTCTAATGAGGTTACTTGTTCAATTTGCAACTTTCACACTCCTGTTCTCTGTTTCTTGTTCACTCTCCTTTTCCTCCTCCTCACCAGAGTGCGGGCACGTGGTAGACCACTCTAACACCTGGGCAGACGTCTCATCAAATCCTCTCAGTAAATTCTCCACCCTCTCTCCCTGTCTTCCTCCATTGGTCTCCTCTCCTTTTCCTCCTCCTCACCAGAGTGCTGGCACGTGGTAGACCATTCCAACACCTGGGCAGACGTCCCATCCAAGTTCCCCACCAAAATTCTACAGTACCCTGTGAGTCTTCTCTCTTGAGCCACCTTTGCCGAGCTACCTCAAGCATCAAACGAGCTGCAAGGCGATTCTGTGAACCACCTTTCAGTGCCTTGGATTCCCTATGAGGGGGTGAGCTGTACAGTGCCTTGGATTCCCTATGAGGGGGTGAGCTGTACAGTGCCTTGGATTCCCTACCAAGACTGTACAGTACCCTGTGAGGGGGTGAGCCTTCTTCCGCAGTGTCCCCTCTTTTTTCTTCAACCTTTTTGGTGCCCTGACCCTGAGCACCCAGTGCTATATGTCTGTACCCACCCAGTGATACATGGTCGGTAACATGCACACCAAGAGCATTGCCTGCCTCTCTCGCGCATCCTTGCTCAAAGCCTCACAAGAACGAACAACCAGTAACTCCACCCTGCACCTTGCCGCCTCTTGGTCCCCCTCCCCCTCTTTCACCCCACAACCCAGCTTGTGTGAGTGTGACAGCACTGCACACCAACCACAACTGCACACCAACCACAACTGCACACCAACCACAACTGCACACCAACCACAACTGCACACCAACCACAACTGCACACCAACCACAACTGCACACCAACCACAACTGCCTCTCTTGCATCTTCGTAGGGATGAACAAGCACGAACTCTTCCCCCCTCAGTGGTGTGTAACATGCACACCATATCATATTGACTGCCTCTCATTCCTCTTTGCTTCGTAGGGATGAACAAGCACGAACTCTTTTCCTCCCTTTCCCCTCTCCTTCGCCACAACCCAGCTCCAGTGGTGTGTAACATGCACACCATATCATATTGACTGCCTCTTATTCCTCGTAAATTAAAATTCGAATCACACTTCGCACCCTTCTGCCCCTCCTCGCTCCCTCCTGCTGCGCCTCACCCTCTCCTACCCCACAACTCAAGCTTTACGTGGTGTGTGACGTGCACACCAACTACATTTGACTGCCTCTCTTTCATGCTTCCTTGCTCAACCCGTTCCCCCACCTCTCCCCCCTCCTGCCCCACCTCTTCCCACCTCACCCCATGCAGCTGTTCGTGGAGTGTAGCGTCAAGACCTCAAACTCTAATAGATGAGTCCCGTCACAGTTGAATCTCAACTGTGACGAAACTTGTCAAGACCATGCCCCTATCCTTACTCTAATTGACTGCCTCTCTTTACTCTTTACTCAGCCGCCTTTTGAGGCGCCTCAATAATAGACTGCCTCTTGTCGCGTTATTAACACTTAGCTGGCAACTAAGTGTGAATACCACAGCAGCCAAGGTGAGGGTGTACTATAGTTTACCGCTTTTGTACTCTAATTTCATTTGTGTGCTTGGAGTGTATTGTACTGTACTGCAGAGCCGAGTAGCTGGGGAATTCGAGGTGGTTGGTGGGAGGTGAATTCAAGGTGGTTGGTGGGAGGTGAATTCAAGGTGGTTGGTGGGAGGTGAATTCAAGGTGGTTTGTGGGAGGTGAATTTAGGGATGAGCAAAGGGCGAACACGAACATGTTCGTCTTCGCCCCTTGTCGAACACCCTCTTTTGCCGAACCGAACAGTGTTCGGTTCGGCGAACAGTTTAGGAAAAAACAGGTGTTCGCTGTTCGCCTGTGGAGGCGTGTTCGGGCGAACCTCGAACACTGTTCGTGTTCGTCGCGGGCAAATTTCAGCAGCGGCCCGAACACGAACGTGTTCGGGCGAACATCGAACATTGTTCGGCGAACGATTTGAGCTAAAAAACAAAACCTGTTCGGTTCGCCTCGAACGTGTTCGAGGCGAACCGAACAGGTGTTCGCCACCTTGCTCATCCCTAGGTGAATTCAAGGTGGTTGGTGGGAGGTGAATTCAAGGTGGTTGGTGGGAGGTGAATTCAAGGTGGTTGGTGGGAGGTGAATTCAAGGTGGTTGGTGGGAGGTGAATTCAAGGTGGTTGGTGGGAGGTGAATTCAAGGTGGTTGGTGGGAGGTGAATTCAAGGTGGTTGGTGGGAGGTGAATATAAGGTGGTTGGTGGGAGGTGAATTCAAGGTGGTTGGTGGGAGGTGAATTCAATTCCAGCCTGGGAATTCAATTTCGAAGTCACCAGGCTGGAAGGCGAATTCAATGCCAGCCTGGGAATTCAACCCGAAGTCACCAGGCTGGAAGGCGAATTCAATGCCAGCCTGGGAATTCAATTCGAAGTCACCAGGCTGGAAGGCGAATTCAATGCCAGCCTGGAAATTCAACCCGAAGTCACCAGGCTGGAAGGCGAATTCAATGCCAGCCTGGGAATTCAATTCGAAGTCACCAGGCTGGAAGGCGAATTCAATGCCAGCCTGGGAATTCAACCCGAAGTCACCAGGCTGGAAGGCGGTGCATGCCTAGTGGGCCCAGTGGAAACCCAGCTAGCACCTTGGAGACCTCGCGAGCAGCTCGGCTGACTCGTTTGGTGCACAGGAGCTTGCTTGTGGAGGAAGCAATCTAGGCAAGGGGAGGGAATAGATGTAGGCAGGAGTAGCACCCGGGCTTCTTGCTTTTTGCTTGTATGTTTCTCGTTTACTGCAATTTGCTTTCCTAATCCGAAGGGAACTAGCAGTAGGAGAAGCTAACAGCAATCTGACTGAGCCCTTGCGAGGGAGTTCAAGACTTGTTGCATGGGAAGCCTGAGATACGAGGAGTGCAGGACAGGGTGATTACGTATACCAGGAGGAAGAAGGGATAAATCTGGTCAGCTGTGCGGGTGACAGGGAGGGAAGGAGAGAAGGAGTAATCAGTTGGATATTCACGGGAGAGTGGGAATGAGAGTTTACAGAGGAGGATTCACGACACTCTCTTTAGTCTTTACTCAGCCGCCCCTATCCTTACTTCGCCCCTTTCTGCCCCTCCTCGCCCTTTTCTGCCCCTCCTCGCCCTTTTCTGCCCCTCCTCGCCCCTTTCTGCCCCCCCTTGCCCCTTTCTGCCCCTCCTCGCCCCTTTCTGCCCCTCCTCGCCCCTTTCTGCCCCTCCTCGCCCCTTTCTGCCCCTCCTCGCCCCTTTCTGCCCCCCCTCGCCCCTTTCTGCCCCTCCTCGCCCCTTTTTGCCCCTCCTCGCCCCTTTCTGCCCCTCCTCGCCCCTTTCTGCCCCTCCTCCCCTTTACCCCCCCCACCACCACCTATCCCACACCCACAACCCAGCTATATGTGGTGTGTGACGCACACACCAACTACATTGACTGCCTCTCATGCATCCTTGCTCAACCCTTTCCCCCCCCTCTCCCCCCTCTGCCTCACCGTTTCCCACCTCACCCAACCCAGCTGTATGTGGTGTGTGACGTGCACACCAACTACATTGACTGCCTGCGGTGGTATGGCGACTTCGTGCTCTCTAAGGTACATCCCTCTAATATATATATTATTGAAGTGTGGTATATATGCATGTATAAATATATTCTCTGTGTACTGTCTGCGTGACTGCCTGTGGAGTCTTATACCTCCGCTCCGCCTTTTTTTGTCCCCGTGGTGTGTCCATGCTTACTTCCGATTTTTTGTTTCCTCTTATGGTATGTTCCTCTGATTGCGCATTGATTTAGAGTGTAGACAACAAGGTCATTCTATGGTGCTGGTGCCACAAGCCTGTTACACTGACGTTTCCAATATGCTGATGTTTTTCTACGCCTTCACATATAACTTCCATTGTCCCACTGTGCATATCTTATCTGTAGAGTGTGGACAACGAGGTCATCCTATGGCGCTGGTGCCACAAGCACCGAAGTTGTTCAATGTGTATTGGATTCTTATGCTTATGTATATCTGTGCGTTCATCTTATATAGAGTGTAGACAACGAGGTCATCCTATGGCGCTGGTGCCACAAGCCCGGAACTGAACCCGGCTCCGCCCACCCTGCTGAGGTAAGCATATGTCCTGCTGTAAGCATCTTCCTCTGCTGTTGTAAGCATCTTGTACTGCTGAGGTGAGCGTCTTGTCATGCTGATGTAAGCATCTTGCCTTGCTGTTGTAAGCATCCCACTGCCCCGTTAATCATAGCCGCATGCCATTCCATCCGGTCATTCGTGCATGTACATCTATACCCTGTAAATGAAAGTTTCCGTTTTGTGTTACCCATACACATTTGCGCCGAATCAGGGAACCTTGGACATTTTGCAGCGTTATCCAGTGCCGGATTGCGGGTTCTGGTTCATTAAGTTCGATCTTGACTACATGGCCAATATTATGGCCATAGGTACGCTTTCCTCTCTTATCTATAATTTCTGAGTTAGTTCAGTCATCACCCCCTCTGGTTATAGGTGTGCCTTTTATTTCTTTCTTACCAACTTTCCTTAGTTTTTATATTTAGAATAGAGGTTTTTTTATTCTTCTTCTTTTGTCTTTCTTCCTGTGTGTCTAGATTCCTGTCCTGGTACAATAATTAGACCAGTGATTGCAATTGATTACTGTGGCATGTCATGGTCATGTATCGCCATGCCACCCTTTGCCTTCATGGTAGGCAATTTTGTGGTCAAGGTGTATGTGTATGACCTGCAATCCAACCCTCCTATTCGCTCTTAATGACACCATGCCATGTATCCGTTTGTTACCGTGCCACCCACCACCACCACCGCCGCAGGCAATTGCGTGGGCAAGGTGTATGTGTACGACCTGCAATCAAGCCCTCCCATTCGCTCTTACTGACACCGGATCCGTTTGTTACCGTGCCACCCTTTGCCTCCATGGCAGGCAATTGTGTGGGCAAGGTGTATGTGTACGACCTGCAATCCAGCCCTCCTATTCTCCTCAGCACGTGAGTGGGATGGGCATGACATGGCACATATGTCAGTGTCAAGGCATGTCATGGCGCGTCTAGGTGTGGCATGGTGTTGTATGGAGAAGATGGGTTTACTTCTATTCTTTCCTCTTTGCTTTTTGCCTTTTTCTTGTTTGTGTTCTCCAAAGCGTTTACAGCTGATGACCCTGCCAATGCCGGTGAAGGTTTTGCCTTCATGAATAGTCTTATGTCTCTATGTTTGTTTGTTTTTTTTTTTCCCTCTTTCGTCCCAATTCCCAACAGGCTTTCAAGAAAGGACTGTAAAACGCAAATCAGGCAAACAGCTGTGTCACATGACGGCAGGTAACATCAGGGGCCACCTTTCCGGTATCCTGAATGTGCATGTGTCTGGTTTTCTTTCACTATGCGTCCTTATATATGTATATGCTAGATATGCTTGTTGTATTCTTCTGAACCACGGCAGATAGATCCTGATCCCCCTTTTCTCTCCCCCCCTTGCAGGATAATAATGAGCTGTGATGACGATGGCTGGCTATGGCGATGGGACTTGGTCATGTCCCACGATTGAAATTTGCACCCATATTATGCTATGTGCTGTTAGCCCGTGCAATGAAACTGCAGCATATTTCAGCAATGTCATGCTTTTACATAATACCAGTAGTATTTGCTGTATTTCTGAGGTTTTGTATCTTATGAACTTCCACTTGCACAGGCTAATATTGGTAGGGAATGCTACAACTAGCGACCTATCGCGAACAGCCTCGGAATCCCAAGACGTGTTCAGAATGACGGGTTCGATTGGGTGTCAGATCAAGAACGTGCGGAAAACGTCTTGTGTAGTTTGCGGGGTGTTTCGGGAACGGGAATACAAGATAATTGGGCGAATCTTCCACAGCCTCATGTCGAGCGACCCGAGAAAACACGAGAATGAGCAACTGCAAACGCGGGTGAGCCAAATTCTGCTCACTGCATTTTCGGTAGCTGCTCACTTCTAGTGAACTAGGCTGTTCGCTCGCCTGCGATTCAGTCGTATCGACTGTTATTTTAGCTGCTAGCCGTGGTGTACTTGTGGCTTCCTGCTCGCAGCGCACCCATTCGAAGTACCGCGGCACTGTACAGAAGATTCCTTTCTACGATTGTTGGTAAAATAAAGCGGCCGTGTATCTTACTCAAGTTGTGTGTACGATAGATTGTACATTCTGAGGTCGCCTAGGCTCCGTACAGCTTATTATAGGTGAAGCATTGATTGTAGAAGTTGCGCAAGAACGCAGAATGGCGGTTGAGGCCACGTCATCCATCCTGCAGTTCGCCACGTGGCAGAGCTCCGTTGACGTGTCGTTTTGGGAAAATCTCGCGTCGATGAAGGTCGACTCGCAAGGACTGAAAGAGGAAGACGTGGCAATTTATGGTAGGCTGGGTGTCGCTTGCTGAAGATTCGATTCGAGTTGCAAGAAAACGACAAATCTGCTGGATTAATATCTGATTCGTGGTATTATCACTGGTCTGCACAGAAGGGGAGGAGGAATTTATAGTTGAATCTGGACTAGGGAAGTCTGGTTAGCTGTATCTGTTCCGTGTTGCTGTCAGCGGCATAATCCTTCGTCCACTGTATATCTTTCTGCGGTCCGCTTATGTCGCTTCATCAACCTGTGTAATTCCCCAAAAAAAATTCCTCCCTCACAGGTTTCTTCACGCCGTCCTCACACTCTCAGCTCCCCTCCTTCCTCTCCCTCTCCTCCGCCTCGTTTCCCCCTTCCCCTCCCCCACCTCCTCGGTTCCACCTCATCCAACCGATTGATGCCACCCATGCTACTGCCGTCACCACTGCTGACGTCAGCACTGCTGGCGTCACTGCTTCTGGCGGCAGCAGCGGTATCAGCACAGATGTTACCGACAGCAACAGCAGGAGCAGCAGCAGAGATGGGCGGAGTGCGGTAACCAGGGGTGAAAGAAATTTGGTGGTTACCACCAATGATGGCAGGAGCGTGGTGGCGGGAGTGCTTCGGATTGCCAACACAGTGGAGTCGTTTCGAGCGTTTGACCGGCGGACGATGATGGAGGGAGTGGCGCAGCAGGTGAGAAAGGATGAGAGGGATTGTGGTTACTGGTGTGGTGACTGGTGCGGTTAACAGCATGGCTGGGAGAGTAGGGCAACAGGTGAGCACCCGCCCCTCTCCTCTCCGTCTCCCGCCAGTCAGTGTGCTACCATTGCCCACCTCCCGCCCCAGCCTCCCCTCAGCTTTGGCAGGATCTTCTATCCGGCAGGGCATGAAAGCACTCTTCTCTCCTCCACGCATTCTTCCTCCTTGTCTATCCGGCACCAAGCACTTAGAGGGTCTTTCCTCTTCCCTCTCTATGCCTCCTCCTCCCCTCCACGTCACCATCCCTCAGCTGTGGCACGACATGCTATCTGGCAGGGCAGAGCGTCTCTTGTCTCTCCTCAACGCTTTCTTCCTCCTCGTTTATCCGGACATCAAGCACTGGCACTTCCTCTCCTCTCTCTGTGCCTCCTTCCCCTCTGCCCCTCCTCCCTTCAGCTGTGGCACGCATGCTATCTGGCAAGGCAGAGCACCACCACCCATTTCTCCTTTCGTGTTCTTCCTCCTCGTCTTCCCGGACATCAAGCATTGGCGATTCCTCTTCTCTCTCTATGTGCCTCTTCCATAACCCCCACCACCCTCTCAGCTATGGCAGGACATTCTGTCCGGCAGGGCAGAAAAGCACCCGTCTCTCCTGAACGCATTCTTCCTGCTCGTTTATCCGGACATCAAGCACTGGCGCTTCCACTACGCCTTTGCCTTCCCCGCCCTCGCCCTCCCCTCGCCTGCCACCCTCGCCTCTTCCCCTCTGCCTGCAACGCAAGTCTTTTCTTCCCAACTGGTGAGTGTTCCTATCCTCTGACTCCCCTTCTCGCCTCAACTCACTTTGCTGCACTTTTGCGTTCCTGCTTGCTTCTACCTTCCCTGCCATCTCCCGTGTGATGAGGCGATTTTTGAGTCGACTCAAAAATCACTTTTGCGTTCCTGCTTGCTTCTACCTTCTCTGCCATCTCCCTCCCCTCCTCTGCCATCCTAACTTCCCTTCCTCTTCCTGCAACTCAGCCCTTCTTACTCTGATTTTTGAGTGCTCCTCACTCTCCTCTTTTACCCCCTCATCCCCCCTCTGCCCTCCTTGGTTTTCCTTACCATACAGGCAGAGTCGATCGAGAAGGAGTGTGAGCGATGGAGACAGGGAGGGCGGGAAATAGGGGCAAGGGAAGAGAAAGCAGCTGCATTGGCTAATTGCCTCTCATCCTTTTCCCTCCTCTTGCACCCCCCCCCCCGTTCCTCCTACCATACAGGCAGAGTCGATCGAGAAGGAGTGTGAGCGATGGAGACAAGACGGGAGTGGGAGAGGGGCAAGGGAAGAGGAAGCAGCTTCGTTGACTGGCGAAGAGGGAGGGCGGGAGGAAGTAGGGGAGGGGCCGGCTAAGGAAGCTTTTAAGTCGACTCAAAAGGAGGGGCCAGCTAAGGAAGGAGAATCTGAGTTGGAAGCAACACTAGTGGAGAGAGGCTCCCCGTACTTCTTACTTTATATAGACTCCACCACCACCACCAGTACCAGCTCAACACAGCCCTCAGTAGCAGCGCAGGCTTCAGTAAAAGCACATCCGTTAACAGAGTACAGGCAGCTGGCAGCCCAAAACGAATCCTCCTCCTCCTCCTCCTCTTCCCCCTCCTCTCCTCCGCAGCTCCTCGTTGCTTTCTTCGACCCCTGCCATCTGCCTCTCTCCCCCGGCTGGCCTCTCCGCAACCTGCTCCTCCTCGCCTCGCTTCGCTGGCAGGTCAGTGATCTGACGTGCCTCAAAATCTGTTTTTCGACCCCTACCATCTGCACCTCTCCCATAGCTGACCCCTTCGCAACCTGCTAATCCTGACCACCTGCAACTGCACAACCCCGTGTTCTACCTCCCCCCCCTCTATCTACCCCTCCCAGGCTACGTCCCTCCATGTGCTCTGCCTGCGGCAGCGCCACGGTCGAATCAACCTGCACCACTCGCTTCTGACCATGCCCCAGTCACAGTTGCATCCCTCTCCATGCCTTACCCCCCCTCTATGCATCTATCCCGCCCAGGCCACCTCCCTCCATGTGCTCTGCCTGCGGCAGCGGCACGATCGAATAAGCCTGCACTTCTCTCTCACTTGATGCCTTTCTATCACCCCCCACCCACCCTTCTCGCCCCCCCCTTGCCCCTCCCCCTCTCAGGCCACCTCTCTTCACGTGCTCTGCCTGCGGCAGCGCCACGGTCGCATCAGCCTGCACCACTCGCCGCTGCTGCACGTCCAGATACCACCCCCCCCAGGCAAGTGATGCCACTTTCCCCACAGATACCACCTCCCCCAAGCAAGTGATGCCACTTCCCCCACAGATAACACCTCCCCCAAGCAAGTGATGCCACTTCCCCCACAGATACCACCTCCCTCAGGCAAGTGATGCGACCCTTCCATTAGGCATTTGAAATATAAAGTGTTGCTTGCGAGTGCTCTTTTCCCTGTATTTCCTCATTCTGAGGGTTTGGCTACTTTCACTGGTGCCATTCTCACTCTTCTCCCTCGCAGCTGATTGGCTGGACCCTCTCACAGCACCTGCCACGTGTCCATCTGCCACTGGCTGGGAGCTGAACGCCAAGGGGCGAACCGGGGCACGGTGCGCTGACCTGGCGCCGCTGATGGACCCTGCCAGGCTGGTAGACGAGGCGGCGTCGCTCAACCTGAAGCTAATGAGGTGGCGCGTGCTGCCACAGCTGCAGCTGGAGGGGTTGAATGCAACAAAATGTTTGCTTCTAGGCGCCGGCACCCTTGGTTGCCAAGTGGCTCGCTCTCTCTTGGTAAGGAGAAGCCTCCCTCCGCCAGCCTCTCTTCTGGTAGGGCATCGTCGCTCACCCTGAAGCTGATGCGGCGGCGCATGTTGCCACAGCTGCAGCTGGAGCGATTGAACTCAACTAAGTGCTTGCTTCTAGGGGCTGGCACCCTTGGTCGCCAAGTTGCCCGCTCTCTCCTGGTAAGGAAAAACCTCCCTCTAAAACCCTCTCTTCAGTCGAAGTTTGATGAGGTGGTGTGTGCTGCTGCCACAGCTGCAGCTGGAGCGATTAAATGCAACCAAGTGTTTGCTGTTAGGAGCTGGCACTCTTGGGTGTCAAGTGGCACGCTCCCTGCTGGTGAGTCTGTCTGTCTATGTGTGGGCTTGTGGTGAGAGGAAGGGAGAGGCCACAGTTGAACCTCATGAGGTGGTGCGTGCTGCCACAGCTGCAGCTGGAGAGGTTGAATGCCGGCACCCTTGGTTGCCAAGTGGCTCGCTCTCTCCTGGTAAGTAGATTCTTTCTTCCAACAGCCTCCTTCCAACAGCCTCTCTTTCGTGGGGCATTTTCATTCAACCTGAAGCTGATGAGGTGGCGCGTGCTGCCACAGCTGCAGCTGGAGCAGTTGAATGCAACCAAGTGTTTGCTTCTAGGGGCCGACACCCTTGGGTGTCAGGTAGCGCGCTCCCTGCTGGTGAGTGTGTGTGTGAGCTTGTGGTGAGAGGAAGAGAAGGGAGAGTTCACAGCTGAAGCTGATGAGGTGGCGCGTGCTGCCACAACTGCAGCTGGAACGACTGCAGTCAAGCAAGTGTTTACTGTTGAGGATTGGGACCCTGAGGTGTCAGGTGAGTTCATGGTTGAAAGAGGTGGAGTGAGGTAGACAAGGCATCGTGGCTCAACCTGAAGCTGATGAGGCGGTGGCGCGTGCTGCCACAGCAGCAGCTGGAGCGGCTGCATGCAACCAAGTGCTTGCTGCTGGGGGCTGGTTGGCACTCTCTCGGGCCTCCGGTGGCTTGCTTGCTCAGGATAAGAGAGCAGGAGAACGAATGAAGCACCTGCTTTGAAGCGCTGCAAGTCTTAATAATCCGCAATCCACACACTGCTGGGGCTTGTGCGTCCTTCTCCCATTCAATAAAAGTTGAGTTTTGAGACGTCTCAAAACTTTACTTTTATCATGAAGCGCTGGATTTCGTCATGATTCGCTATCCACATGCTGCTGGGGCTTGTGCGTCCTTCTCCCATTCCACCACTCGATTGACTTTTAAGATTTCATGGAACTTAATCCAAAACTCGCAAAGCACTTGCTGTTGAGGTTCTTTAATGTTTTATTCCTTTCGAGTGCTGCCATCCCGCCACTTCCCAAATCCGCCAGGCATGGGGCATTCGCGACATTACCCTCGTGGACTACGGGGCGGTTTCGTATTCTAACCCCGTGCGGCAGTGCCTCTTCTCTGTCAAGCACTGCCTGAATGGCGGCGCTCCAAAGGCGCAGGCGGCAGCAGAAGCACTTAAGGAAATACTTCCCACTGCTGTGAGTGTGGTGTGGTGTGGCGTTGATGTTAAGAGCCAGTACAATGAAGCATTTATAAGCACTGTCTGAATCGCGGCTTTGTACCAAATGAAGCAGTAGAAGCAACTTCAAGCCATTTTCTCTTTTGAACACTGCTTGAATGGAAGCGTGCCGAAGGTGCAGGTGGCAACAGGAGAATATAAGGTTGTGAATGCAGATTCAAATGGCTGTGTTTAAGCCACCTTCACCTGTGAATGACAGCTGTGAATGACAGCTGTGAATGACTCATTCTTCTTGGAGGAAACCTCAAAATCACACAAGCCTTCCTTGTATTCTTCCTTTCCAATCATTTGCAATTATCCCCATTCAGCATCCCATCCCCCTCACATAGCCAACCCTGAACCCTGAAATGCCTTGTTGCTGTTCTCGTCCCCCTATTCCTTGTTGCTGTCCTTGTTGCTGTTCTCGTCCCCCTATTCCTTGTTGCTGTCCTTGTTGCTGGTCTCGTCCCCCTATTCCTTGTTGCTGTCCTTGTTGCTGTTCTCGTCCCCCTATTCCTTGTTGCTGTCCTTGTTGCTGGTCTCGTCCCCCTATTCCTTGTTGCTGTCCTTGTTGCTGGTCTCGTCCCCCTATTCCTTGTTGCTGTCCTTGTTGCTGTTCTCGTCCCCCTATTCCTTGTTGCTGTCCTTGTTGCTGTTCTCGTCCCCCTATTCCTTGTTGCTGTCCTTGTTGCTGGTCTCGTCCCCCTATTCCTTGTTGCTGTCCTTGTTGCTGTTCTCGTCCCCCTATTCCTTGTTGCTGTCCTTGTTGCTGTTCTCGTCCCCCTATTCCTTGTTGCTGTCCTTGTTGCTGTCCTCGTCCCCCTATTCCTTGTTGCTGTCCTTGTTGCTGGTCTCGTCCCCCTATTCCTTGTTGATGTCCTTGTTGCTGGTCTCGTCCCCCTATTCCTTGTTGCTGTCCTTGTTGCTGTTCTCGTCCCCCTATTCCTTGTTGCTGTTCTCGTCCCCCTATTCCTTGTTGCTGTCCTTGTTGCTGGTCTCGTCCCCCTATTCCTTGTTGCTGTCCTTGTTGCTGTTCTCGTCCCCCTATTCCTTGTTGCTGTCCTTGTTGCTGGTCTCGTCCCCCTATTCCTTGTTGCTGTCCTTGTTGCTGTTCTCGTCCCCCTATTCCTTATTGCTGTCCTTGTTGCTGTTCTCGTCCCCCTATTCCTTGTTGCTGTCCGTGTTGCTGTTCGCGTCCCCCTATTCCTGGTTGCTGCCCTTGTTGCTGGTCTCGTCCCCCTATTCCTTGTTGCTGTACTTGTTGCTGGTCTCGTCCCCCTATTCCTTGTTGCTGTCCTTGTTGCTGTTCTCGTCCCCCTATTCCTTGTTGCTGTCCTTGTTGCTGGTCTCGTCCCCCTATTCCTTGTTGCTGTCCTTGTTGCTGGTCTCGTCCCCCTATTCCTTGTTGCTGTCCTTGTTGCTGTTCTCGTCCCCCTATTCCTTGTTGCTGTCCTTGTTGCTGTTCTCGTCCCCCTATTCCTTGTTGCTGTCCTTGTTGCTGTTCGCGTCCCCCTATTCCCCATTCCCTCTCCCTTTCCTTCTTCCAGCGCTCCTCCCACCATCGCTTCACCATTCCCATGCCAGGTCACCCTGTGTGAGCCTCTGAGAGGTGCCTTTTGGATCTCTGGAGCACTCAAAAACTCCCTCCAATACCCCTTCGCAATCCCCTATCCCCTTCGCATTCCCCTTCCCCTATCTCCCTCCCACCCTTCCGCCTCCCACCCTTCCCACTCGCATCCTTCCACCTCCCACACTTTCCCCCCCTCCCCGCCCTTCTTTCTGCCCCCCATCCAGCACACGTCGGGCCATCGCCTCGCCATTCCCATGCCAGGTCACCCCGTGTCGCCCTCTGAGGCGCCACGTGTGCAGGCTGACGTGGCAGCCCTGCTGGCGCTCATCCGCCAGTCGGACGCCGTCTTCCTCCTCACCGACACAAGAGAGAGCCGCTGGCTGCCCACCCTTTTGTGCGCGGCCGAGGGAAAGGTGAGGGGGGTGCAAAGGGGGAAAGGGAGGGGTGGGTTTAGGTTTAGGATTTAGGATTTAGGATGAGGGAAGGAGAGGGGTTGAGGTAAGGAGAGGGGTTGAGGGAAGGAGGGCCGCTGGTCTCCCACCCTGCTGTGCGCTACTGAGGGAAAGGTGAGGGGGAGGGGAAGGGTACCAGTCAGGGGTTTCGGGGTTTAAAATCCAGGATTTAGGGTGAGTGAGTGGGGACGCCACCATCCCTCCCCTTACATTCCATACCACCCTCCCTTGCAACCACAACCCACTTTGGTGGCCATCAATGCTGCTCTCAGCTTCGACTCCTTCCTTGTCATGCGCCACATCACATGTGGCATCACCATTACTTACCGTGCCATGCCATACCCTACGGGACAACACCACTTACCATACCCATGCCACACTCCACCATGCCACACTCCACCATGCCACACTCCACCATGCCACACTCCACCACGCCACACCACACCATGCCACACTCCTCTCAGGTGGCCATCAATGCTGCTCTCGGCTTCGACTCCTTCCTTGTCATGCGCCACGGGGCGCCACCACTGCCTGTGCATGCCACGTCAGCACCAACAGCATCCGAGTCAGCACCAGCAGCGTCTGAGTCAGCGCCAGAGAAGTCTGAGTCAGTGCCAGCAGCATCTGAGTCAGCGCCAGCAGCGTCTGAATCTGCGCCATCCAAACGCCTCGGCTGCTACTTTTGCAATGATGTTGTTGCCCCTCTCAATGTGAGCTACCTTACCCTCGTGTCCGCTGAACTGCTTCCTCCCAATGTGGGTCACCAAACACCGCTGCCCCTCAGTACCGCCAGCTTTCCTCAGGACCGCCAGCTTTCCTCAGTGCCGCCAGCTTTCCTCAGGACTGCCAGCTTTCCTCAGTGCCGCCAGCTTTCCTCAGTACCGCCAGCTTTCCTCAGTACCGCCAGCTTTCCTCAGTACCGCCAGCTTTCCTCAGTGCCGCCAGCTTTCCTCAGTGCCGCCAGCTTTCCTCAGTGCCGCCAGCTTTCCTCAGTACCGCCAGCTTTCCTCAGTGCCGCCAGCTTCTCACGACCTCCCTGCCGTATGCCACACTCCCCCAGACTCCCAGACTCCCCCACACTCCCACACTCCCCCACACTCCCACACACTCCTCCACACCACACACACGATCACTGCAGCAATGTCGTTGCCTCCCTCAATGTGTTTTTCTGTGCTGCTTCCCCTCCCTGTCACCTGCTCTCTGCACCATTCTTCATATGCTATCTAACCTTACCCCAACCTCCTGCAAGGTCTCATGTCCCCCTTGCCATCGACATGGTCATTATTTCTTCTCCATCCCATCTCACCCCCCAGATGTCAACCGCACCCATCGTACGCTCGACCACCAGTGCACAGTCAGCTGCCTCTCCCCTCCCACTCCGCCCTTGCTTCTCTACACCTTCCGTTCCCATATGACCCCGCCAGTCCACCACCCATTGTACGCTGCTGCCCTTCCCTTCCTGCTCCTCGCATCCCTGTCCCATCGTTTCTCCTCTCACCCGTCCCCATTTACCACCACTCCACAGCTCATCGCACGCTAGGCCAGCAGTGCACAGTCACGCGCCCTGGCCTGGCGGTCATAGCGGGGGCCCTGGCTGCTTTTCCGTGGGTGTTTTTTTTTTCTCACTCCATGCTTTCTCCTCTCACCCGTCCCCATTTACCAAAGGTCCACGGCTCATCGCACGCTAGGCCAGCAGTACACAGCAGCTTTGGTCTGGCAGCCATAGCAGGGGCTCTGGCTGCGTCTGTGTGTCTGCCACCGCTTGCTCTTCTCCCCTCGCACTCCACCCTTGCTTCTCTACGCCTTCCCTTCCCATACATCCCCACCAGTCCACGGCTCATCGCACACTAGACCAGCAGTGTACAGTCACGCGCCCTGGCCTGGCAGTCAAGTGGGGTCTCTTGCTACCTTGCTGTCTGTGTTGCTGACTTCGTACTCACTCCTCATCCCTCTCACTCCTCATCCCTCTCACTCCATTCCCCTTCCCTCCCCATGCATCCCCCCGCCAGTCCACGGCTCATCGCACGCTACACCAGCAGTGCACAGTCACGCGCCCCTGGCCTGGCGGCCATAGCGGGGGCTTTGGTGGTCTTGCTGTCTGACTGTTTGAGGTGCTTCCCCCAGCTACCTCCATCTTTCCTTGCTGCCCCCTCCCTTCCCACATTTCCCCGCCAGTCCACCGCTCATCGCACACTAGCCCAGCAGTGCACAGTCGCGCGCCCTGGCCTGGCGGCCATAGCAGAGGCTCTTGATGTCTGACTGTCTTTCTCTGTGCGTTGCTGCCCCCAGCTAATTCCATCACTTCATCTCCACCTATACCTGTTCCCATGTTCCCTACACCTGGCAGTCCACGGCTCATCGCACGCTAGACCAGCAGTGCACAGTCACTCGCCCCGGGCTGGCAGCCATAGCGGGGGCTCTGGCAGTGGAGCTGTTGGTGGGTCTGCTGCACCATCCCATGGGGTGAGTTGTTCACTTCACAGTGTTAGGGGGGCCTTGGGCTGGAACGTGGCAGGTTGCAGGTGGCCAGTCCGGGGTTGATGGAGCAGTCTACAGAGCTGTTGGTGGGGCTGCTGCACCACCCACTCGGGTAAGGGTTCTAATGTAATAGGAGGCGACATAGGAGGAGACTATAATACACTGAGAAGGTTCGGCTGTGAGGCTCTAGTGTGTATGGGGGTTTGCGGATGAAGGAGCAGGTGGTGATCTGGCTGGCAGCCACAGCGGGGGCTGTGGCAGTGGAGCAGTTAGTGGGGCTGCTGCACCATCCACTGGGGTACGGGCTGGCTGAAAGGGTTCGGATTCTGTGGCTTCTAGAGTTGGGGTTTGAAGGAGCAGGCGAGTGATCTGGTAGCCATAGTGGGGGCTGTGGCAGTGGAGCTGCTAGCGGGGCTGCTGCACCATCCCGTTGGGTAAGTGCTTAGAGGCACACAGCAAAGCTGAGTGACTGGTTTCCCCTTGATGCTGTGGTGTGGTGTGGGGTACAACAACTCACTGCTGCACTGCACAATCCCATTGGTTGAGTTGTACTCACAGTGTTACTACCGCACACATCTCTAAGATGTGGTGTTAGGAGGTCCATCCTGTAGTTTTAATAGCAGTTACTTCGTCTTGTCCTCATCTCTACTCTACTCATCGAAGTCACTCCCCCACCAACCAACTCGCTGGGCGGCTCTCTCTCCATTTCCACGATAGCTAGCCTGTAGACAACTCCCTCCTCTCCCGCTCTTGTGACTCATTCACAGTCTAATCCCCTCCCAAAACCCTCCGCCACCCTCTCAGAATCGCAGCACCAGCAGAAGACACCAGTGCTGATGGGGTTTCTGCCTCTGCTTCTTCCCACCTCTGCTCGCCTCTGGGTCCACTGCCTCACCAGCTGCGCGGCTTCCTCTCCTTCTTCTCCCAGCTGCCCATCACTGGCTTCGCCTTCCACCAGTGCACCGCCTGCTCCCATACAGTGAGAATTCAGCATTGCGAATTAATTTATCTTAATATGTATGTTTATATATGGAGATAAATCTCACATCCTTTTCCTGCTCTCATATGGCTGGTTATCCTCAACGCAGGTGGTTTCAGCATACAGGGAGCGTGGTTTTGCGTTCCTTATGGGCGCGTTTAACGATCCCACGTATTTAGAGAGGATCACAGGCTTGGATAAGCTGCACGCCGCCACTGTAGAGATTGAGGTCGATTGGGACGATAGTGAGGATGACAATAGTGAGGACTTCGGGGAATTAGTGAGTGAATGATGGCCGTTTCTTGGCAGTGTACAGAGAAAGTACAACCTTAATATGATATTGTACAGAGCAGATACTAATATATTTTATGATTGAGAGACCGCCACCAAAGTATACCCTCGCCGTCATTTAAGGTTGTCTGTTGATGATTTAGTAGCATGATTGTAACTCAGCACATTAGATGTATTTTTGTTCCTACTCCATACAAACCTTGCTCTAGTGGGCTGTACCCTTTACAGGGCCTATCGGTTGGCAGGAGGAATTATGGGATGTGTTTATCACTTTCATTTTACTCAAACCCTGTCCGGGCAACCTCTAGCAATTTCAAGGGCAGGTCTGGTATGTTTTCCTCCTCGCTGGCAAGCATTTTCGTTGGATGCTACTAGAGTACAAATTCTCGAACTTGCCAGGTAGGAGAGAAAGGCCTCGTCACTTTGGTCTTGGGTTCCTCATTCGACTCTATCTGAACCAGAGAAAATTGTATGGAAATGTGGTGGAAGGGTAACCGAAAATAAAATTGGTGCCTTTGTTTTATCTTGGTGTGGCGACCATTACACCTCGTTATAGGCGCGAATGGATCACACCAACCACTACTGCCCACACCGCGCCGCGCCGCACCGACAACGTGACATGCTGAAAAAAAATGCAGAACCGCACGGAAAGCTATATGTAACGTACGAAAACACGATCATCAGATAACAAACCGAGCATAAGCTAAGAAAGAAATGCAACACCCATCCTTGGCGCTACAGCTAGCCCCACACCCACACCCACCAAATGCCATGCTGATGTCGTATGGCGCTGATTTTCTTTGTAAGACATTCTCACCTAATCCAAGCTTCTGTTTGTTTGTTTCCCAGGCTCGTTCGTCCTCCTTAGTTCTAAGCGTGCTGTCGGTTGCTGTTCCTCCATCAATAGCCGACCCTTGCTTGCAGAGCATCAGAAAGTTTGTGAGCCATCCTCGAACAGGCATCCAGCAAATCGAGTTTCGAGGAGCACCAGGGGGTGCTCTGGAAATGATTCTGTACAGTGGGTTTTTACCTGTGCGGCTGGGTTGGGGTGTTTGAGGGGGGGAATGGTCGAAACTAGTGTGTAAGGGCACGGAGTTGGGTGGCATGGGAGTGGGTGGATCGTTCGATTTGTGAAACAAGTGAACAGGAATGAAATGACTAAGGAAAGATTGGGTACAAATACAACCCTAGAAACCCTGTACCCCATATGTGCTACCCCACTATAGCCTACAGCAACTATGTCATATAAATCTGACACACCCCCATAGGCAAAGTGGGGGAGAACAAGGGGTCACAAGACCAGTCAAGTAAAGCAAAGCAGAGCAAGCTCAGGGTGGATCACAACGTCACCACACAGTCCGAGCACAAGAGCAGGGCCAGAGGCCAGTTCACATGCAGGAGTACAGACAAATATATATAAAACTAGACAAGCAAGAGCAGGTATATATATGTCACAGTACAAGTAAAGTCAAGAGGAGAGCAAGTGAGGCAAGACAGGCACAAGACCCAGCTGGGTGCAGAGGCGCTGATGGTCACAAGGCGCGAGTGCCTTGGTGAACACATCAGCAGTGTTGGCCTCACAGGCCACGTACGCAAGCCGCAACTGTCCACGCTGCTGCAGCTCACGAGCAAGGAAGTAGCGAAGAGCAATGTGCTTCGTTCTGTGCTCCAGACGCTGCTCTCGACACAAGGCCAGCATGGCCTTGTTGTCTACGTACAGCACTGGAGGAGAACGAGGCGGCTCTCCAAGGTCAGTCAGCACGTAGGTGAGCCAGCGAAGCTCCTGTGCAGCCATGGCCCCAGCGTAGATCTCAGCCTCACAACTGGAGCTGAGAACAGAAGACGAGCGAGTAGCCCGCCACGAGACAGAGCCGGAACCAAGACTGAAGGTGTAACCCTGTGACGACCGCTGCGTAGCCTGGTCGTCAGCCCAAGAAGCGTCCGCGTGCCCTGTAAGGACCACTGGACTCCGCCCTCCAAGCACTAGCCCCATGCCCGACGTACTGCACAGGTAGCGCAACACCCTCTTCGCTGCAGCCATGTGCTCTGGTCGGTGTCTCCCAGGAGCAACATAGCGTGCAAGAATGCTCAGAGGGTATGCAAGGTCAGGTCGTGTGCAGGTCATCAGGTACATGAGGCAGCCAACAAGCTCTGGGTACGGGCCACTCGACTCTACGGACTCATCCGAAGGCAGAGCTGAGAGCGAGTGGCGAGTAGACAGAGGAGTGGCCTGAGGCGAGGAGTACGTGAAGCCGAAGCGCTGAAGGACCTGCTGCACCATGTGTGACTGAGTCAAGGTAATGGTGCGGCGTGCTCTGTCCCGAGTGATCTGCAAGCCAAGGTAGCTGCGCAGTTCACCCAGGTCTGTGCACGTGTGTCTCTTCAGCAGCTCGGACTTCACGTAGGCGAGTCCAGCAGTGTCCGCTGTGGCAAAGACCAAGTCGTCGACGTACACGAGGATGTAGAACGGCGGCAGAGAAGTGTCGGTGCGCAGAAACAGCGACGGGTCAGCAGTAGAAGGAGCAAACCCAAGAGCCGCAAGCGTAGTCCTCAGTGTGTCGTGCCACTCACGCGGTGCCTGGCGGAGACCGTAGACTGGCCGACGGAGGCTCCACTGGGTGCCAGGAGGGAAAGTCCCAGTGAAGCCAGGTGGACGGCGCAGCCAGATCTCCTCGTGCAGGCTACCCTGCAGGAATGCAATGCTGAAGTCGAGAGAGTGAAGCTCGTAGTCGCGCTGAGCGGCTATGTGCAGCAGCACCCGAAGAGTGGTCATCTTCGGGGTGGGAGAGAAGGTCTGAAAGTAGTCAACTCCCTGCCGCTGACTGAAGCCACGAGCAACGTACCGCGCCTTGAAGACAGGTGGAGAGCCCGGCGGCCGCTTCACCCTGAAGATCCACATGCCACCGACGATGTTCGCCCCAGGAGGGGGAACTGCGTCAACGTAGGTGCCTGTGGACTTCCAGGAAGCCATCTCTGCATCCATAGCTGCCTGCCACTGAGACGAGTAGGGACCCTCTACGGCCTCCGCGTAAGAGCGCGGAGTCGGGATGTCTAGTGCATCCGGGTCTCCCTCAGGAGCAAGCAGTACAGACGCGAGATGAGGTGAAGCAGCCGCCAGACACTGTAACTCCTCCTGCCTGTCCTCTAGGACGTCCGTGCCAAGAGCACAGTCACCCCCGACGGACAGAGGACAGTCAGACGCTGACTCAGCAACAAGACTAGTAGCGTAGTCTAGACGACAGCGAGCAGCAAATTCGACGAGCTCAGCGACAAGGGCAGACGCAGCAGTGGACTCAGACGAGGGGTCAGTGACGACAGTAGCAAGGAGACGCGTGACAGTAGGACTGGCAGCACGAAGAGAGTCGGACTCAGGGTCGGCAAGCGCAGGAAGAGAGGACTCAGGAGGAGAAGGCAAAGGGGCACGCAGAGGAGCAGTGGACGGACGCAGAGACATCCGGTGCGTGCCAGGGACAAGAGGAGGACGCTGACGCGAACCGCGAACACTAGTGCGAGCAGCACGAACAGGCGACGCAGGACGAGACGCAGGCTCACGACGCTCAGTAAGACCTCCAGTAGGACCAGTGTAAGGAGAGGGAGCAGGCAGTGGAGAGGAAGGCTCCAACAGGGACTGCGACTGGACAGGCTGTGGACACTCTACCGGAGGAGAAAGACCAAGAACCTGCTGCAGGAGCGGAACGAAGTACGGCCGAGGCCGCGCGGCAACTCCAGACTCAGCAGGGGCAGCACCAGCACCCTCAGCGACAGCACCAGCGCCACCAACACCTCCAGCGGCAGGACCTCCAGCAGCACCAGTAGCAGAACCACCGCCGGGACAGACAGCAGTAGTCTCAGCACCAACACCCTCAGGAGCTCCTACTCCAGGAGTACCCGCAGACCCAGCAGCTCCGGGACCGGCAGCACCAGCACCCTCGACGGTCGAAGAAGCTCCAGCTCCAGCAGCACGCCTCCAGCGGCGAGCAAACCACTCGCGCAGCTCCTGTGGAGAGAGGGGCTCCCGGCGAGACGAAGCAGCAGGAGAAACCCCAGGCTCAACAGCTCCAGACGTAGCACCCCCAGGCTCAGCAGCTCCAGACTCAGTACCCCCAGGGGCAGCAGCTCCCGACCCAGCACCCCCAGACCCAGCACCCCCTAGCTCAGCAGCTCCAGGCACCGTACCCCCCGGCTCAGCACCCCCAGGCTCAGCACCCTCCGCAGTAGCACTCCCAGGCCCAGCACCCCCAGGCTCAGCACCCCCAGTAGCAGCACCTCCAGGCTCGGCACCCCCGCGCACAGCACCCCCAGAGTCAGCACCCCCAGGCTCAGCACCCGCAGCAGCACCAGAGTCACCAGTAACCTCGACCGGGTCAACTGCGTCTACCTGGGACACACCTGAGGGGGCAGGAACCTGAGGGGGGAGGGGGTCTACCGGGGGGGGAACTGGCACAAGGAAGTCCGGCGGAGGGGGGAGGGAAGGAGTGCGGTAGGGGAAGAGGCGGTAGAAGGGGACTGACTCGTCGAACGTGACGTCCTGGGAGGACAGAACACTACGAGAGGAGGGGTGGTAAAACTGCCACCCGGGAGCGTCTGTGGGGAAGCCAAGGAAGACACAGGGAGCAGCACGAGGGGACAGCTTGTCCGCAGACAAGTCGCGGACAAACGCCCGAGATCCCCAGACACGGAACGCCGACGCATCGCCAACCTTCCCCGTCCACAGCAAAGCTGGGGAGGTCTCCGGTCGGGAGACTCTGGGCTGAAGGTTGATCTGATGCGCGGCGTACCGAACCGCAAACGGCCACAGAAAACGGGGGGCAGCCGCATGCACCATGGACGTACGGGCAACGTCCATGACAATGCCGATGCGGCGCTCAGCAATCCCATTCTGCTGTGGAGAGTCCGGAAGCGTGAAGGTCTGGCGGATGCCTCGTGCCCGACAGTAGGCTCGCAGAAGGCCGGAGGAGAACTCTCCGCCTCTGTCCGAATGCAGACGCAGAACAGGAAAGT